ATGTTTTTGAGAGTGATGCTCTTCATGAGACAGAGAATGAGCCTGACATCGAGCAGGATATTGGCATGTTGCCATGTAATGGTGAACAACTAAAAGAGCAGAGAGATGATGAGGAACAGGAAGGTGACATGCCTAATGGTGGTTTTGCACTTGAGTCGTGTCTTCAGAGGAGATATTAAGTTTTAGTGATGGAATCTACTCTGTGGCCCCTGCTGAAAGAAACACTCCAGTTTTTTTTTTTTTCAGAATACCTAAGCTAGAGGCCATGGCTTTCCCTGTCCAATTTCCTACAGGTCAGAACACACTGGATGAAAAGAGATTTGTTAAAGTGACACCAAGCACTTATTTCTGTATTGATGATCGTTTTGCCAGAGACACTACTACTTGTTCTTTGCACAGTTTGTGACTGAAATTCACTTGACCACCAAGAGCATGACCATGAGAAAAATGATAAGCCTGCTGTGATCAGATTTCACCACTGCTCAAAGGAAAAATATCCTGAGCAATTCTATGGACGAATACTAAAACGGTACCTTCCTACAGATCAGACCAGGAACTGAAAAGGCCTTACTTACCCACGTATGAGTCCTTTTACAACAGTGGCTTGGCAGTGCTACCAGGTTGTGACCATGGTGAGCCGGTTAAAGACAATGAAACAAAGACAAATACTGTATGAGAAAAACACTCTTTACTGTTTTTCTCATATTTGTCTTTGCTTCGTTTCACAATGTCTTTAACTGGCTAACTAACCCTATTGAGGAAGCTGTTGAAGAGTATGAACAGAACAGAGGGGTGACTGATGAATGGTGTAACCTGGCACCTGAATCTGAAGTAGTGAGGATTGAGTGCATTGAGGAACTGGAGGCAACAGAGTGAGATTATGACAATGTACAAGAAAAGCGTGATACTGTGGATGGTTACTTTGATACTTTGTATTGTTTGCCGTTGTTTCATATTGCCTACTTTTGTAATTTTGTGCCCACGTTTTTTGGACGCCACTGATTTTGTGCTGTTGCTGTCCATGCAGTTTTTTTGTGGGCTGTGCCATATTTTTGAGGTGGTGTTTTTGTGTCAGCCTATCCTTTTTCCTCCTGACTCAGCAAGGTTTTTATGGTCGTTTTTTTGTTATTTGCTCTTGACAATGGAGTATAATCTTGACGAATTTGTGGCGCCAACCTAGTCTTGATTAATTACATAGTTGCACAAAAGAGCATTTGATTGTTATTGCTGATCATTTTGGTGTCACTGTGCCTAAACAGGTGAAAAAGCAAGTGATAACATCCGAGTTATTGACTGCTTTGTGTGGAAAAGGGGTTTTGCCTTGTTATCCTAGTGTCACGATAATGAGTTCACCTGCCGGACAACAAGATCTGGGGGAACCGCTCCATCTTAAACAGCTAGAAGTTGAAATGCGTTGTTCAGCTATAAAAGAAAAAGAGCTTAGCATCAAAATAAAAGAACAAGAGCTCAGTAATGAATTGGAATTACATAAAATGGAGGTTGAGAGGCAGTTTCGTTTGAAGGAGCTTGAATTGCAACAGTACTCCTCACCCATTGTGTCTCAATCTCAGTCAGCAAATTTGATGTTAACAGATGCATTCATTTGGTCCCTCCTTTTACATCCAGAAGGATGTAGATAACTACTTCACCTTGTCTTCACCTTGTCATACTGTATGTGTATATTTATTAGGACTGTATGAGGGAACAGCTTAAGGAGTGAATGAGTGGCTTAGTGAACTGAAAAAAGAGTGTGGCTAAGACACTAACAGTGTGTGAACTGACTTATGTAAAGTCTCACTCAAAGTCCTTAATTTCTTTAGTAGACCGGAGACACAAGGGTTGACTGATGCTCAGATGTTTTAGGCAGCTTGTATGTAACCTGCGAGACGAAACTCAACAAACACAAGGTCAACACGATCAAAGCTGCTGTGAGCACACAGTACCAGTTGAAGGACGTAAGTATCTAACCTTTGAATGAGCTCCATTGTGCAGTCATCTTGGGTCTGAAGATTGAAGCTGTAATGAGTAGAAAATGCTGATATTGAAGTGGTGAATACAGCTTCCTGGTGTTTCACCTGAAATTTGACAAAGATAAAACAGCATTGACATTGTCACACTGCAAATGATATGTACCAGGGAAACTGAAATCCTGTCACCCATTCACAGATGAGTCCTGTTCTTTTTGAAATATACATTATAAGGTGTTGTGATATAGCGCTGAACCGTGTTGAACAGCCACATTATATCTGCTCTGTTGATTGTAATAATACTGGACATGACAAATGACAGTTTAGATAGCTGACTAACATTAGCAAACAAGCTCCCGGTCAATTCAGTCCCAACAGTAAAGTAACGTTATCTAAATATAATCAGCAGCATCCTTTGGAGAGTGGCATTTAGCAGATGCTAACACGAAGTAAGTTAAGATGAAACTCACCCTGTAGTTTGGAGGATCAGGATCAGGATCAGAGTCCAGCTCCTCGCTCCGTCACACAGTGAAACTGCCAGTGAAACGGGTTATAAAAAGTTACCATTGCAGTGTTACAAACGTTTTCAGATCACAAAGGAAGGATTTTTTTCCTGCACCAGCAACTGTACAGCTATACCTCAAAGTAGTTAACATTAGCTGACAAAGTACACACTGTTTGCTTGTGTTTGTGTCAGCTCAGACTCTGATCTCAAATGACTTGAAACTTAATTCAATTCCAATGCTCTTTACTTTCACTCTGAATACAGTTCATTTTAATCAAATAATCCTAAATATAAAGATAACTCAGGAAGAGATCTCTGGCTTAAAGACTAACATTACAAGGAAAATAACTTGTCTTGTTTAATGGCATTCTACTAGATCAGGGGTTTTCAACTGGTTTTGTCCCAGGGACCACCATTATAACCAAGAAGCAACTCAGGGACCACTGCTTTGGCGGATGTTTGTTTTATTTTGCACCAAGCTTAAAATTAAGGAGGATAGACCTATACAGGCTATTTATTTGCATCAGTGTATGTCTATTTATTTGCACCTTGTGCTAAAAAGAAAAACAGACAAGTAGTAATGAACGGAAATAATATGTGGGAAGCCAAGAGGGTTTATAATATTACAAAGTTGAAAAAAAAAAAGTTGTCAATGACTGTAAATATTTCTGCGCCTGTTGTGCGCCCTGGCAGTGGTTTACAAAAAAGGAACTCCTCGCACATAGTGCCACTGTCCTCAAACCGCACAAATGCCAGGAGTTGCGCATAATTGGTAATATCCGTAGTCTCATCAATTTGAATTGAGAATCCTTGAGCTGATCTTAGTTTCTCTATAAGCTGCGTTTTAACGTCATCAGCCATTTCCACAATCCGACGTGCAATAGTGTTATCTGACAAGGGGATGGTTTTTAATTTGTTTGCACAGTCTTCACTTCCCATGGTTGTACACATATCCACAGCTGCTGGCAAAATAAGTTGTTCGGCAATTGTGTGGGGTTTTTTAAATTGTGCAACTCTAAGTGCCACCTGGTATGAGGCTTTAAGAGCATTTTCACTGCTTGTTGCACTCTTTTTCATGAGTGTCTGCTGTCCCTTAAAAATACGCAGCATTTCTTCAAAATACTGGATAGGCTTGCCTTTCAGTGAACTATGGTGGGTCTCCAGATGCCGCGTTAGTTTTGAGGGCTTCATTGCTTCATTTGACAGGCGTGCCGAACATATGAAACATACTGGAATCTCATCTCCTGCTTTGTTGGTGGTGAAAGTGAATCCAAGTTTAATATACTTTACTGCATCATATTTTCTTTTTGCCGGTCTCTCCCTCTTACGTTTCCTTGAGTCCTTCTCTTGGGGGCTGGTTCTTCAGGGGGGGCGTCTGGTTCTTCAGTCTCCTCTGTGGCTGTCGTTCCAGTGGAGGTTGCAGTCTCAGCCTGCTCTGCAGGTTTTTTCCTGACAACGAATCAGTCCATGATTTCCATTTACAATTTCACGGACCACCTGCAATACCGCCACAGACCACCAGAGGGCCGCGGACCACCGGTTGACAAACCCTGCACTAGATAATCAATACAACTTGATTGGAAATGTGATGTATTTTGCCTATGCTAACAAGCAGGGCAAAAAGCCACTCTGAAGGATGAAGATGGGTGAAAAAAATCAAACTGCATTGTCCAGTTAAATGTGTCTCACTCTCTGTTTTCCCAAAATTTATTGCAAAAAATACTGTAAATTACTGTTTTCTTTCCTCCAAGCAATAATACTGTAAAATACCGTTATAAGCAATTTCACCGGAAATATTTGCAGTAGCCTAATATACTGCATTTAAAGATAACAGGATTATACTGTTGAAATTTTCCTGTAAATTTACAGCAATTTGTTAAAGTGCATGTGCATTCATTTCACTGCAGACGTCAAAGGACCTGAGCCTCCTGAGGAAAAAGATCCGGCTCTGCCCCTTCCTGTAGACAGCATCTGTGTTCAGGGACCAGTTCAGTTTACTGTCCAGGTACACACCTATGGACTTGAATTAAGTTTTAAGTCATTTGAGAACAGAATCTGAGCTGACGCAAACACAAGCAAACAGTGTGTACTTTCAGCTAACGTTAGCTACTTCGAGGTATAGCTGTACAGGGAGCAGGAAAAAATCTGTCTGTTGTGATCTGAAAACGTCAGTAACACTGCAATGGTAACTTTCTATCACCGTTTCACTGGCAGTTTCACCATGTGACAGAGAGAGGAACTGGACTCTGATCCTGATACTCAAAACTACAGGGTGAATTTCATCTTAACTTTACTTTGTGTTAGTCTAACAGAGTTAAAAATGCACTTTATTAATTATTATTTCCAATTCGTGTTTGTGAATTTTATTTATCATTTAATGATTATTTTTGAGTATTTGTCAATTTTATCTAAATGAGTTATTTTTATTTACTGTTAGTTTATGAATTTTTCCTGTGGAAATTATCTGCTTGCACCCTGCCCTTTCCGTACCTCCTGGGCTTCCGCAGCTCCTCCCTTCTACCCCTCACAGTGCCGTCTTGTTGTTTGTTGCTGTTGTTTGTTGCTGTTGTTTTGCATGTATAGGGAACAGAGGTGCAGAAAGGAGAGACCAGGAGGCAGTTAATGTGTTTTAATGTCTTCTGCAGGTATGTGTTTTTCTTTTTTAAGTTATAAATTTAGTTGTTTCTGTTTAGTGACGCCGCCCCACGTTCTGTGTTCCTTTGGCCACCAGGTGGCATTGTTTTCCTCTTCTATATATATATTTTTTTTATGGTTTTGAGGAGATTTGTTCATAAAATTGACTGTAGGTAAAATGTTTTCCTGTGAAAATTTAAAGCCCTTGTTTAGTGTGTAAAATGAGTTGAATGCATATTGTAATGTTAAATAATTCATGTATATGTATTTTGAGGAAAAAAAATCAGATAGTGCCATCTTGCATTACCGAGGGGAGCAGAGGTGCAGAAAGGAGAGACCAGGAGGCAGTTGATGTGTTTTAATGTCTTGTGCAGGAGCAAATAAATGCCTGAAACAGTCCATTGAATTATCTTCCTTTATGCCCCATCCACACACCCATTATATTAGCATCTGCTAAGTGCACGTCTCTAAAGGACGCTGCTGATTTTATTTAGATAACATTACTTTACTGTCGGGACTGAATTGACAGGTAGCCTGTTTGCTAATGTTATCAAGCTAGCTAAACTGTCATCATTTGTTACTTCCACTATTATTAAACTGAACAGAGCAGAAATAATGTGGCTGTTCAACACGGTTCAGTTCTATATCATAACACCTTATAATGTAAATAGCAAACAGAACAGGACTCATCTGTGAATAGGTAGAAGGATGTCAGTTTCCCTGGTACATATCATTTGCAGTGTGACAATGTCAATGCTGTTTTTTTCTTTGTCAAATTTCAGGTGAAACACCAGGAAGCTGTATTCACCACTTCATGATCAGCATTGAGGGGCATGACCTTTGTGAGGGCACCCAGCCAGCTGACCGTGCTCATTGCAGTCTTTTCTACTCACTACAACTTCAATCTTCAGTCCCAAGATGACGCTGCATGCACACTGGAATTCATTCAAAGGTTTGATACTTACATCCTTCAACTGGTACTGTGTGCTCACAGCAGCTTTGATCATGTTGACCATGTGTTTGTTGAGATTTGTTTCACATGTTACATACAAGCTGCCTAAAACATCTGATTACTGGAGCATGTTAAGGAAGCTTTTCTGACACTAATCAAGGCAAAACTATTACTTCCAAAACTACTGTTACTACCATGAAAGTACACATTTCTATTTCCCCACATGAATACACACTTGTTTTTTAGGGCCATTCATCGGGATAAATCCTGAGAGAGGCACCAAGGCTGGACGGGTCAAAGTCTTGGAAAATGGGGAAGGTCACCCAGAAAAAGATGGCATCAGTCAACCCTTGTGTCTCTAGTCTACTAAAGAAATTAAGGACTTTGAGTGAGACTCTACATAAGTCAGTTCACGTACTCACACACACACACACACACACTGTTAGTGTCTTAGCCATACTCTTTTTTCAATTCACTTGGCCTCTCATTCACTCCTTAAGTTGTTCCCTCATACAATCCTTTTGTACAACAGCTTATGTTAGAGATCCACTTGATTATTTTTGATAATATTTCTTGTGTTTATTTGTGTTCAGTGTTTAATGTTCATGCAGACTACAACACTTGTTAGAGATCTTTTTTAATTGACTGAAATTTTGGTTTATTTGCATGTTGTGTTTTCACAAGTTTAATAAAGAGAGACGTGGTTTGAAAAGACACTTTGAGTATTTCAGTATTATTCGTCTTAAAATTTTAAGTTGCAATTTCAAAGGCCATGTTTATTCAATGTATTAAAATATAGTTTTATAGCAAGACTGCCAAGGAATAATTTATCAACTAGTTTAGAAGTTTAGGAAAAAAATTTAGTTCTTTTTGTTAGCTGTTAATTTATCAATAGCTTATACTGCAGTATGTTTTATATATGCACTACAGTTTACAGTAAAAATCTGCAAATATAGCTCCTGTGAAAAAAGTGTAAATAAATAGTAATAAACTGCTAATCCTTCATCAGTATTTTACTGTAAATGTAGGAAATAACATCTTTCTGCTGTATTTACAAAAACAGTAGCAAACTGTAAATACCAGCAACAGCATGGTACTGTTAATTTTACAGTAATATAATGACAACCCTGCTTACAGTTGTTTTAAAGTGTAGGCCTAATTCATGACATGCATTTTAAATGAATATGTTGCTAATTCTAATAATATTGAGCAGCACATCTCCAGTTAACATGCCTGTCAGTAACACATCTGATTAAAGTGGCTCTCATATTCCAGGTGGCTCAGAAGACAAAGCCGATACTCAAAGCAATAATAAAAATAAAATAATATTAAATTTATGAATAAGTTTGTGTTAGAATGTTTTATGAATAGCCTAGACAGCTGGTTCTAACCTCCTAAGAGCCAACGTTATCAACAAAATGCAGTAAAAGTGAAGCCGTCCGTTTTCATTGAATTATGTAGACTGCAGTCAGAAGATTATAACATTTAAGTTTGTTTTTTTTTCATTTCTTTTTAATGTACTTATTATCAAACACCCAAGATCTGACCAGCAAGTTCTTTGTTTAAGAACCGAACACGGAAATTAAGACAAAATACAAGCCGTGAATCACTGATTTTGTGGGTCACCAGGACTCTAGGCAAGACTCAGAGTTGTATTTAAAGTCCAAAAAACAAAATCGAATCCCTTATTATTTAATTTTTATGTCCTAATTAGGTCTATATTTGTTTATCGCTAACTGTTTTTTAATTTAATATTGCTGGATGTTGTGCATGCCTGTTCACCAGCACAGATGGGTCTCTAATCAGCCAATCACTGTGGTTGTTACAAGCTCACTCATTAGAATTGACATCAGCCGTAACAACAGAGACTTACTCTTGTAAAAACGCAGTGCCATCTTGGAATACAGTATTTGATTTTTAGTTGTTCAGTACTTAGTCTCTTCCTTAGTCCTTGTAAGTTTGCTGTTGAGCAGTCGGGAGTAGGTTTATCAAAGCTGATTGGAGCACTGAGGCTGAACCTAAACAATAAAGTTGCAGCAACAATAAAGGTTAGATTAAATAATGAGCTGAACGAGCTGGGGTGACTGTAGTCTGTTTATCACTACTTTCCTATTTCACATAATTTTGACTCACTGTTCATGTAAAAAATATTGATTGGATGGAGCTTTAATTATTACAAAGATGCATTCCTTGGTTTTTGTTGCAGTATTCTAGTGCTTCAAATCTCTTAAAATGCCTTCACATATAATTGTTAATGCTGTTATGAAAATCAACACTGTTCACAGTTGAGTTTAAAGTTTTAATCTTGTCAGATGAGATGAATTTTGGGACAGAATGTACGCTACTATTAATTTGTGATTTAATGCAGATTCTTTTCTTTTTCTTTTTTTTTTAACTTAAACCAAACATATTTAAATCTTGATTAAATGCCCAGTGCTGGAATTTATGGAGTGCTGGGATTTACCCAGTCAGGTTTAAGTTTGTAGTTCAGGACAGTTCAGCACTCACTGAACCTGAGACCTTCTGGCACCAGAGAGGATTCCTGTAACTGCTACCGTACCCTGAGCTCTATCCAGGGATGCCAAATTCTAAAACAGCACTAGCAGATAATACCAAAGCTTATCTTCTGAAACAGATAAATTATCGTTATTTGTTTCTCATGAGTCTGTTTTAGGGAAAGTGGTGTGTGATTGACACATCTAATAATCAACAGCAGTTATCACACAACCTTATTCCCTGCCTACATACCAACATTAGTAAAGACTGACTCTTTGTCATTTGTTGATATTTGATCCCAAGCTGTTTACACAGACTGTCATGGGTTGCCATGACAGACATTTTACGTTGGAGATTTTGTTTGGACTTTTTTAATTGTCATTTTCCGTTTTATTTTGTAGTTATTTTCCTTGTGTCTAATGATGTTTTTACTTCCTGTCTTTGTCCTGTTTCCCTCCAAATTGACTGTCTGCCCCGCCCTAATGTGTTTCACCTGTGTTTAATTACCCTTGCCTCCATTGTGTCTATTTAGTCTCTGTGCTCCCGTTTGTCTGTTCGTGTTCCCTGTGTTACTGTTTGAGTTCCCCGTGTTTCCTTGTGCTTCTGCTTTCTGTTCAGTTGGTTCACCAGTTTTTGTAAGTTCTTCTGTTTATTAAACATTTTTCATGTCTCCCTTGTGTTGGCTGCATTTGGGTTCAGTCTTTTCCCTAACTCGTGACACAGACTTAAAATTAGGTATGCACACACTCTTCCCCATGCACATAATCATACAGACACAGAGACTGTCCAGGGTGGAAATGCTCTAAAAATAGATGGGGTTAGGTATCTGCTGATGTGTACCGCAAAGAGATAAATTCCCTTATGAGGCTTAAGCATGCCATCAAACATGTATGGAACAACACACACACACCCCAATTCTATGTTCTAGTTATCCCAGTTTGCTCGTCTGAAAAAACTGGGTCAGACCTGGTAAAAATATTTCTGCACCTGCTCCTTATGTCTGACATGATGTGAAATACACCCAGGGGTTCTCTGTCCTTCTCTGCTACCCCATATGCCACCCACACACCTTCTCCCATCCAGCAAACAGTCACAGTCACCTTGACCGGGTACACAGAGGGAGTACTGCTTCTATTCTGGTCCACAAAGCTCACTCATTCTTGTAACCTTCCTCATTCATGAGGAAATTTGAGGAAATCAGTTCACTTACCTGACTACCTCATATTCTTACATTATAGTCTTTTGTATGTTTACTATTAATCTATTTTATTAATTTAATTATTTTTTAAAATTATTTTTACCCCACTATCATGTTCACCATTTCATATCTAGAATCAGGGGCCACTGGGAAAAACAGCCACTTCCATCCTTTAAGATTGTTATAAAAATACACATTGCCAGTGTCAAGTCACACAGAGACAGACATGGCAGGGAAGTGTTTTGTTTGTCAAAATAAAAGCTTTGCTGTTTTGATTAGCATTTTTCTGGTCTTACATTCAAAATAAAATACATTACAATTTAAAAGGTGCTCTGTAGATTACCGAATGGTCATATTGGGCACAGCCCTCGAGACCCAATAAGGGCAGGAGCTTCAAAACCTCTGAGCACCTGTTACATCGAATATCATCAAGCTCATTCCTTTAACAATTAGAATCTGGCCATACTCAGAATGATTAGATATTCATGTTCATGAAATTTATGAAATTAAATGTATGCCTATTTAGGCATATTTGTTTGATCGTTAAATTTGATTGATTCATTTATTTCTTAAGTCCATTAATAAATCTTGTTTGGTGCTTGATTGTCCTTTTGGCATATTTTTGCCCATAACAAAGGCGGCTGCACTATGTTGCTCAGCCTGAATATGAGAACTTTGTCCAGTAATTCCGACAAATTAATTTGTGTTATTTTATTTTTTCTACCAACACTATTTCAAGTTGCATTTTAGCTGACTTGGTCCTCTTCACACACTCGGGTGCCTATGGCCAAATGATATGTCTATGTATGTTCCTGTCTCTGCAGTGTTTTCTGAGCGCTCCGTAAGTTCCGTGACACCCTTGGTTGCTTTGAGTTAACTCTGCTGGTAGTTTGATTCATTTTTGTACACATGGAACCTCCGGACAAAGCCATGAACTTTACGGTGGAACATGTGGCTTCAATGTACCCATTATGTGAGGAATGGAGGGACGGCTTGGAGGGCTCCATGTTCCACCTCGCCAATATCTTCCTATTCCTCAACTTCATGGGTTTAATGGACTCCTCTACCTATTCACCGTCCTAACTCTAGGCTTCTTCTGCTCAACTCTCTGGGCGTGGTCAGACTCCTGTTCTATGGACTCTTTTTTATGGAGTTTCGTGTTCTTCGGCGTGCGTTTGGGACAAGTGCTAAGCGTTTCCTTCGAGAAGGAATTCCAGGAGCTTTACCACTGCATGTTTAAAAAACTAGGCGTATTGCACACACATTTTGAGAGGATAGTGGCCTGCTGTGACGGAGACATCCACACCATAGAGCAGAACCACTGCTTCGCCATAGAGGGAAAAAACGCTATTGACAAGCTGTCAGTGTTCCTGTCTGGCAGGTGACGCAGTCACCCATAATAATGTCTGACGCCAAATTGTATTTGTAGATCTGAAAGTTGTTTTGCTAAAAGATGAAATATTATGTCAATTATTCATTGACATTTGCAAGTGCAACTCAAACAGAGTCCTAATATACCAAGGAGTCTAATTTGTTAAATATGGCATGTGACAAAAGAAACGCATTCAAAAGTTGTATTCAAATAAATGTGCAATGGGTTGTGCAAAAATCCACAACTCACAACTGAACTCACATGCACTACATGTAGATTTGGTTGACATGGCTTTAGCAAAGCCACATAGGTTTAAAATACATTCAAGCACAATTATTAATTAGTTATTGTAGGAGACATTGATGAAGCAAAAGTGGTTGTGAAACTTAGCCCTATAATTATACCCCATTATAATGTACCTCTATGGTGTCCCTAATATAGCCTACATTCAGCCCTAGAATTGACAGTAGTGAAAATATGGCTTGCTATATAACTTAATTCTCCCCTTCTCTAATACAAGTTTAGACCTAATTGATTCCATGTTTTGCACAACTGACAAGCTGTGAAATACAGTCAAGGCTTTAGTGTCTTAATCTATGTTCCCAGAGTGAAACATAGCTAAAATACAGAGTAAATATGTACAATGATGTTTTTCAAATTAACCCTTGTTTGGGTTCAATGTCTGTCTCATCTTTGG